AACCTATAGGAAGCTGCTGGAGGGAGAAGAGTGCAGGTGGGTAGGAAACACAACCCTTCTAGTCCTGATGATGGAGAGGCAAAGTAATGTAAGCACTGGAGATGCTCAGCATGTCTGGAAAGCTAAACAGGGCATTGGGTGGCAGGGAGGGGGATGATTGTCCTTTGCTAGTGGAAGTAACATTGCAGGAAGCACCCCCAAATTAGAGCAAGATTTTATTTTTCTCCCCAAGATCTCTAGGAAATACACCCTATTTCCCTCACACACACTGTCAACAGACTTCTTATCCTCTTACCTTGTTGTCTTTTTTCCCCTAACAGACTGGCTGGAGATGGTGTCCCAGTGAATATCTGTAAGTCTCTAAAATACGAGCAATTACTTATTTAAGCATTAATGTGCCTGTGCCCAAAGAAACTGAGAGCTTCTTCTCCTTCTTGCAGCTGTGACCAGAACCACTGTGGGGACAGGGTATGGAGGAGGAAGCAACCTCAGCATGGGAGGGGGAATCTGCAACATGGGGAACAGCTTCAGCTGTGGAAGCGGTCCCGGGGTTACCACCGCCACCCTCGGGGGTGGCAGCAGCTCCAGCATGAAGTTTGTCTCAACTTCCTCCACCAGAAGAAGTTACAGAAGCTAAAAAACTCCTTTCAGATGCCTTCATTCACCAGAAAACACCTTAACATTGGCCCTTTACTAAAGCATAGCTGGGGTCAACAGAATGAGGGCCACCTAAACCCTATGTCTTGTTGCACAGGATCCTCACTTTAGGAACTCTCTCTCAGCTGTGTTGTCTCGCACGCGTTGTGTAGGGCTCTGCTATTGAACATGAGTCCAAGTGTTTTAAATTGGCAGCTTGCTTTTTACAGCTCAGCACTTTTTGGCCGGATTTTGTATATAAAACGTGTCCCATGACTGTTTGTCTCTTTTCACTTTCTGGTGTTTGTCTAATAAAGATGCATATGTAATTTATTCTATTTTGTGGGTCTTTTAATTAAAGACATGGAACAGCAAATGCAAATGAAGATAACAAGCACTTTTCCTAGGGCCCTGCCTAGTTAAAGGCTCAGATTTTTGCTCCTAGTTCACATCTCTCCATTAGCAGCCAAAACACACCAGCACAGCATAGCACCAAAAGAAAGCTTGCTGGTGATTTCAGCGTTCTCCCCCCTGGAAGCTAAACACAGGGCACGCCAAGGCAAGAGCCAGGCACAGGGGAAAAGGTCTAAGATTCATTTACATGCAGGTCCCAGCCAATACAACATCCAACAGCCTGGCTCCCAGCGGGTACGAAGGGCAGTGCCAAGTGTGTGATGTACCTGCATAAACTTCTAACAATAGGGAACTAATTACTAGGGGAGCCAGAGCAACCACCCGACTTGTTCGAGTGTATCAGTGCATCTCAAAACCCCTTTTACTGTGAGCTGAGTGCAAACATCTGTGTGTTGAAAGCACACCCTTTTGTTCAGAGCACTGGCCACACTGGTTAAGGTGTTCATCTTGGGTCTTGATGCTGATGTTCTCTCTCCTTTGACTATAAGCAGGTGGAGGATCTGGTCCATGTGAATTCACATGCTACACTGAGTTACCCTTTGCTCATCCAATAGCTGTAAAAAATATCCAAGAACAGGATAACTGTTGGGAAGTGAAAGTCTTCAAAATCCAATGTTTCTTCACATTCCTAGAATACACTGGAGACAAGATCTTGCTTTGACAAGGTGGAGAAAAAACAGAGGAGGTATAGCACTTTTAGATGTGGTTCTGGCTAATCGGGAGAAATTAATTGAGAAGCAAAAGCAGAGCATCATCTGGCTGAAAGCTACAGTGACACATCTCACTGCTGGAAGAGCAGCTGGACAAGTAGATGTGATTAGAAAAAAAGTCCCAGCTCCCACCCCATGAGATTCAGTAAGTTCAAGTAATAGGCAAATACTCGAAGAGGTGGGCAAGTAGAGAGGAATTGGCAGTGCCTGAATGATCAAGAGTATTTGGGGTTTCCTTCAAGACCATCAGTTTCCTATAATGTTCTGGGATGCTCTGATGTTCCTCTCTGTACCCCTCAGGCAATCTCCTTCCCAAAAACTTGCAGGCTTGGCTATGGGTCTGCTGTGGCTCTCACTCCTGCTCCACCACCTCTCCCTGCTGAATACTCACAGCAGCTTTCTGGGAAGGAGCAATATCCTCGCCCTGAACAGCAGCCTGGGCAATGTTAAATGATGGTCTTCCTCATTGCTACCTGAACACACTTTCTAACCAAAGAGGATGTAATGCATGTAGCCAACAGGCATGTCAGGCAGATGCTACCCATTGCATCAGCACTTGGGTTGTAACACAGAGATTACAAAGCTCTTCATCGAGCATGGGAGAGGCTGGGGCCAGAATATTTGTTCTCCCAGGGCATCCCTTCTTTAGCAAGATATAAAATGACACCTTGGCAAATGTTCCCATCTCTGGATACACAACCAATGTACAACTGTCCTTGCTCCAGAGCAGGGCTCTAGTCACCACGTACATACCTTCTGCATCCATCCTACCAGACAAGTTAAACAGACGTAGCAATAACCTCAGGCTTGTATTTCAGTAGGAGAGGACAACCCTTGTTAATTCTAGCACAGCCCAGATTAAACCCTTAGTCATGATGAAATGAATGGTATTTGCACTCAGGGGCTTGAATTTGCAATACATGGAGGGAACTGATTGCTAATTGCTACCCGTAACATTTTTACAGAGCTCTTTAGGACAGGCAGTAGCTTAGTCACAGGAGTTGTCCTCTTAAAAACTGCTGCTTGTTTTAACGCACAGTGGCTGAAACACTCCCAAACCAGTTATTTTAGCTTCATTCCAGGGTGTGTAATGGAAATACTAGAAGAATAGAGAAGAAGATAAGGTGGGGGGGTGGGATAAGATGCATCTGCAAATACCTGCTCCATACCCAGTGCCTCCAAGGGCCTTTCTAATGGTTGGGGAAAGCTGTGACTTTACAGCAACTCTGCAGGCGGCTGCTACCTCCTCTGGTGAGTAGATATCCAGCATGGGCATGGGCAGCCACAAGAGAGACCTTGGCAAACCCAGCGGGCTGCAGGGTCCAAGAGAAGAGTGTCCATCCCTGGGCATCCAGACAAGACACTGGGAGTGGATTTCCAGCACCCTGCCTGCTCTCCCATGAGTGTCTGTGTGTAAAGTTGTGCTGGGTTTGGGTGGATAGCATTAATTTTCTTCACAGTAGCTGGTATGGGGCAACGTTTTGGGTTTGTGCTGAAAACACAGGGCTGTTTAGTCATTGCTGAGCAGCGCTTACACTGAATCAAGGCCTTTGCTGCCCCTCACCACAACCCACCAGCGAATTGGATGGAGATGCTCAAGAATGTGGGAGAGAACACAGCCAGGACAGCTCATCCCAGCTGACCCAAGGGCTATAGCAGACCATATGGTGTCATGATCAGCATGTAAAGCTGGGGAAGAAGGAAGGAAAGGAGAAGATGTTCAGAGGGATGGTGTTTGTCTTCCTGCTATGAGTGATGGAGCCTGGGGATGGCTGAACACCCGTCTGACCATGGGAAGTAGAGGATTAATTCCTTGCTTTGCTTTCCTTGCATGTGCAGCTTTTGCTTTACCTATTAAATTGTCTTTATCTCCACTCACGAGTTTTCTCACTTTCACACTGCAGATTCCCTTCCCCATCCCATCAAGGGGTTGTGTGATGCTTGGTTGTTGGCTGGGGTTTAACCATGACGACAGTGCTGCAATACAGCATGCACAGGGCGAGTCAAAACACCATAGAATCATAGAATAGATTGAGTTGGAAGGGACTTTCAAAGCTCATCTAGTCCAATCCCCCTGCAATGAGCAGGAACATCTTCAACTAGATTAGGTCACTGAGAACTACATCCAGAATCCCATTCATGGCCCTGAATGTCTCCATGTGTCCTTCTTCAGAGAAATGCACTATTTGATTTTACCTGGGTGCTACATGGAATAAGAGTAAAGGGAGTTTGGCTGTGAACAATGTCGTAAGCCCTGATCCCAAGCAGTCAATTTCCTTGTGAGTAAGAGATATCAGAGGGAGAAGACAACAGATGTGGGGAGGGCAGCCTGGGAACAGGCTTCACACCATGTAGAGACAAGGTCATCCCATGAGTCAGGAAACAGCCAAAAGATCTGTGAAGGTGAAGCCCTGAGAAATCGCCAACTCAGGTTTTGTGTCGTCACAGACAGCAGTAACTCCCTCCCAGGTCATATTCTGATATTTCATCATTTGTTGTCAGTCTGAATCAGGATGAAACGTAGGCACTTTTCACAGAAAGGTCTGAAAATACCATTCATAGAATCACCTTCCATGTCCTCTCCACTCCCCAGCTGGTTTTTGGTAGTTGATGGTCCAAGACTTCCACCAAGGCCCCATCATCTTTCCCTCCATCACCACTTTCTCCCATCCATATCAGTTCTGGTTTAAATGATTCTTGTTGGGGCATGAGAACAAGAGCCCAGCATTTCCAACAAGTCGAGGCCTGAGGTGCTGATGCCCCACTGGGGTTTACTCAAAACCACAGCAGCAGGAAAACACAGACCCACAGTAACAGATTTCTCAGCCCTCAGACCACTGCACTGTGAAATACTGTGTCTTTATGCAACAGAGGGATTGATTCACCCATGAAACAGATGAGCGAGCGCTTGCCCAACATGGGCAACCATCTACTGCAGAGGTGAAAGGAGGGAGTGGGAAAGGGAGGGCTGTGAACAGGGGTTGAGCAGGAACTATTTAGTGTTTTCGCAGATATTTCGACAGCCCCATCATGACTGTCATGAAAAAATGCAACTCCTGCACTTTGCGAGTGCTTCATCGGTGTCTGTGCTCATGGTGAACTCACTGGCTGCTTCGTGGCTGGGTGTGCCGAGCCCAGTTAATCAGTGAGATGAGCATCACGCCAGACCCATCCCCAGCTAGTAAAGGGTATAAAAGGGCCAGTCCCAGCCTGGGGGAGCACAACTTCACCTTCCTGCCTTCATCCACTTCCTTGCTGCTTCATTCTTTCTACCACTCTCACCCTGCTCACACCAGCTGCCATGTCTCGCCAGTGCGCTGCAAGGAACCAGATCAAAACCGGCTTCAGTGCTGCTTCTGCCTTCATCCCGAATGCCAGCAGCTCCAGCTTCTGCTTGCGTTCTGCATCCCAAGGTGGAAGCTGCAGTACTGCTGCTGGCTATGGAAGATTTGCTGGAGGTTTTGGAAGCAGGAGCCTCTACAGTCTTGGTGGATGCAAGAGGATCTCCGTAGCTGGAAGAGGTGGTGGCTTCTATGGACCTGCAGGTTTTGGTGCTGGCACTGGGATCCCCTGTGGCGTTGGTGGTGCCTTTGGGTTTGGTGGTGGCATTGGTGGCCCTGGATTCCCTGCTGTCCCAGCTGGGGGCATCCATGAAGTCTCGGTCAACCAGAGCCTTCTGAAACCTCTCAACTTGGAGATTGACCCCAACATCCAGAGTATTCGTAGGGATGAGAAGGATCAGATTCAAACCCTCAACAACAAATTTGCCTCCTTCATTGACAAGGTAAGACATAAGATCTCTTGGTTACACTCTGTTGATTCTTCAGTGGGGAAGCACAAACAAGGGCAATCTTGTTGCCCTTCAAATGCTGTATCTTTATCAGCAATTCTGCTGCTTCTCTACTGACACTTCTAACATCAGCAGCTTGGGAATAAAAGGTCCCAGCTTTGAGATCACTCATCCCCTGCATCAATGCTGAGATGAGACCAGCCAACACTGGGGAAATGGTGACACAGCATGTAAGGAAGCAGAGATTGCAAAGACAGCAGGAA